AGAGGGAAGGCAGCTAGTCATCACCACCCACCGCCAACTCTTATTGCGCGAGACTCAACAATCAATGATTTTGTTTGTTTGTAATTAAGCACAAAGCTACACAATGGGCTATCTGCGTTCTGTCCACCACGGGTATCGAAAACCCGGATTCTAGCTTTGTAAGTCCGCAGACGTACCGCTGTGCCACTGGGGGGCAACAAACAATGAAAATCTCTGGCAGTATCTTATTGGTTGCTTTTCCTCTTTTGCTCACCCGTAAAGCAATTTAAGTCTTAACCAGCCCGTTTTCTACAATAACAAACACGAGGTAAGCTGTTAACATTTCTACAGGCCTTAAGCCTTATAGTAATACTTTTATATCTTACAGAATTTTTTTTCAACATTTTTCATTGGTGTGTTTCAAAAACATTAGAATTGAGTTACGCCAAAAACAACAACAACAAAAAACGTAATATCGGTTCATCAAGCTAAACGAACAGTGTATAGAGTGACGATAGCGGATATAGATGGAGCTTGTTATTACCAATCAAATATCCGTTTATCGACAGTAGTATTGTCCCCCCCCGGGGGGGTCAACGCTAAGTTTACGGAATCACAGCTCAGGGGGGTTCGATTCCCCGCGGAGGACATCGCGCAGATAGTCCATTGTGTAGCTTTGCGATAAAACAACAACAACAACAATAGTAACATCAAGCATTCATCCAGCTAAAATTACTGGTTCATGGAATACTGTAAAACCTAGATAACGTATGTCATTGACCTACTAACTTGATTACAATATCATTTCACGTAGAGCGCTGAACACATAAATACGATTTAAGAACTGTCGCAGGGTGGGTATGAGTTATGAATATGAAGAGATTTTTTTTTTTACTATCCTTAACCCACTTTTATCAAACTCATTCTTCGCCCTACAAAGTCTACCTTTGACGCGTTTGTTTTTGTTTTGTATCTCATAATTGTGTCCCCCCCATCCGTCGAATATACAGTTCGACGTGGGTTAAACCCACAACACACACACGCCTAGCAGAAAAGTGGAGATTGAAGACAGTGGGTAAAGGTAACTGTAATCAGATGCGATGGGTAAGTGGGTTATCGATGAATAGTGAACCAGGGATGCTTGACGAACAGCGTTCCCTCTAAGCTGCGCACAACAACCAATCAAGTGCTGCGCACTAGATTATTCCAGCCGCGCACATCCTCGGTAATGGTGAGGAGTCACAACAAGTTGACGGCCTTAATGACCCTGGTTTGTTTGTTTGAGGTTAAGCACAAAGCTACACGATGGGCTATCTGTGCTCTGCCCACCACGAGTATCGAAACCCAGTTTCTAGCGTGGTAAGTCCGCAGACATACCGCTGTGCCACTGGTGAGCTAATGACCCTGGCATTCGATAGGCCTAAACCCCAAATAACCAATTGGTAGCATTGCGAAGCGGCCTAATGACCCAAAAGGGTCGATGGTCTAAGAATATCCCCCCAAAAAAGCTGGTAGCGCACATCCGCACATTGCCTTGATACTGGTGCACATGAAAAAAAAATAATTCCGAACATGAATTGAAAAAAATTAGAGGGAACATTGCTGGCGAGGGTAAAAAAAACGGGTTGCTAAAGAATATATGGTTTTTGACTTAGTTTATATTTTAAACGTTAACTGAGATGATAATATTTTTACTGTTTGTATCACGTCTACCTAAAATAACATTAAAACCATGATCTAAAACATACTGAAAAGTCAGTTTACCTCATGCACATTGCTTTTCAATTATAGTTTTGTCCATTACGGATTTAGTCTAGCATTGATAAAATGCGTTATATGCATTAGTAATTCGTGGTTAAACAAAGTCAGATCCTGGTTTTAAGATCATAATAAACTAAAAATGAGGAGATTATAATTAAAAAAAAAATCTGCATTGAAACGTAATTACCTTCATTTTTGTTAGGACTATAAATCTGATTGATTTAAGTTTTAACATTAAATATGTTTTACACTGAGCGTTCGGTTATCAGCTATAGTAAAGATAATAAGTTCTTAAACATTAGGCTTAGCAAAAAGCAGAAGAAATGCTTAAACATTAGGCTTAGTAAAAAGCTGAAAAAATTCTTAAACATTAGGCTTAGCAAAAAGAAAAACAAATGCTTAGACAGTATACCATTAATTATTAAATTTAATTAACAATTAATATAAGAGAAAATAGTAAATATTTCATATTATTTGATGTGTCTGCCTTATAAAATTAGTTTAAGTCAAATATAGATTATAACAAGCCATTTTGTTAGCGCTATGTTACTATAACAAGCCATTTCGTTAGCGCTATATTACTATAACAAGCCGTTTTGTTAGCGCTATGATAGTATGACAAGCCATTTTGTTAGCGCTATGTTACTATAACGAGTTATTTTGTTAGCGCTTAACTCGTTATAGTAACATAGCGCTAACAAAATGGTTTGTTATAGTAACATAGCGTTAACAAAATAACTCGTTATCGTAACATAGCGCTAACAAAATAACTCGTTATAGTAACACAGCGCTAACAAAATAACTCGTTATAATAACATAGCGCTAACAAAATAACTCGTTATAGTAACATTTTTGTTAGCGCTATGTTACTATAACGAGTTATTTTGTTAGCGCTATGTTACTATAACAAGTTATTTTGTTAGCACTGTGAACCTAATTCAAAACTTAAAGTAACTTACCCCAGTTGAACATCGCACATAATATCACATATCGACGAAACGAACTTATCCTTATTCCCTTCATTTCTCCTATTTATTTATTTTTTGGGGGGTTGGTGGGAGGGAGAGAATTCAAAAACACCTAGCTACTTAAAGTTGGAGCTAAAACGGGCCGCCACGAACGGGTGAGTTAAGTTTAAATATAGGTGTTTGATTGATGGGCAGTTTGAAAACTCTGTTTATTTCTATAGCTATATCGCATGAACACTATCTCAAAGAGCCTGAAGTTGTTTATGGATATCTTACGAAAACCGGATTCCTTTTATACGACTCTGAGAATGACGTTTGACCCACTGAAGATGCGATTCCCGCGGGCATGACGTCGAACCACGTATATGCATTATTATTTTATTTTATTTTTTGACGCCATAGTGCCAAGGGCGAGAATACCTTTAGAGTTGTGTTCAAAACAGTGTTGTGCCGTTCCTTTGGTTCACTTAACGAAGCCGAAGCGCGAGGAGGAGGAGGTGGCCGCAACCAATGAAGAAGCACAGAAGAAACGAAAACGTTTCTTAATATTCATTGACACTAGGTCGCCCTCCAGTGGCACAGCAGTATGTCTGCGGACCTACAACGCTAGAAACCGGGTTTCGATACCCGTGGTGGGCAGAACACAGATAGCCCATTGTGTAGCTTTGTGCTTAATTACAAACAAACGAACAGACACATGGTCAGGCACGTTGGCGTTTCGAACACTGCTGATCCATCTGGAACATTTCATTCGATTTCGTTTGTTTGTTTTAGAGCAAAGTCCACCGCGTGGGAATCGAACCCCGGATTCTACCATGGTAAGTTTGTAGGCTTAACACCGTCCCACCGGAAGACGACTTCACACGAAGCGTGAACGTTGTTCATTCGTCTCATTCATATGAACTCTTCTGTTGTCTGATATAACATACCTATTTATAACGAACCTATTCTTACTCTATCAGCGGGAAAAATTGTTTGGATTTTTTTGTCCTAATAAATAAATTGGTAGAAATCGTGCGTCCAAGAAAACATGCAGACTAAAGAGAGCCTGATACTTTTAGTTGAATTTGGTTAGAACAAGTAAGTGGAGTCAAACGTCGATTGTCATTGGTTTATATCTTAAAGATTTATACGTGGATTCGAACATTGGTTGTCATTGGTTTCCTTTTTAGTTTCATCAGTGAATTCAAACATCGATTGACTTAGGCTTCTATCTTAAAGTTTTGGCAGTTTTGACAATATTTGAGAGCCTTTTATAGAAATGCAGTTTGAAGTTGACCAATATTAATACACGAAAAAGAAATCACCAGAAGAGAAACAGAAATATTTTATAATTCACTAAAATGATATTTGAATATATTATACGTTACTAGCAAAAACGCCTCCTTACGGGCTGTTGTTTGTCTCAGTAATTACTTATCGTAGTATTCATATCTCATTGAAAAAAAAAAAAAATGTAGGAAAAGTGAACATTAAAAAAATTAGGTTTTTCTTGGAAGTACTGCACGGGAAAAGTGTTCGGATTCTGCTGATAAAAACTTTAAACTTTTTTATATATTAAAAGTGGTATCCTTTATTGAAACAACTTCATTTTCAGTACAATATTTACAAATTACATCAATAAACATATAATCAAACCCTCACGTACAGTCCTAGTGAAAGTCGTGTTCTTGTCGTGGGGAGAATACATTTATTTAGAATTGTGGTCTGTAATAAAGAAATGGTTGTTGCACATACCGTAGTCATTTTTCTAATTGTCTGAATCTGAAATGCCCAAAATGTGAATTTTTTTTATGGATTTTTGTTTATGTTGCCATTCGATAGGTGGCGCCACATTGTATTTATTTTTCGGTCGCGTACATAGTTAGATACATATATACACGGCACGTCCATTATAATAGATTTGGAGTTACGGGTAATGGTTAACACCGAACATTGATCGCTATTGGGAAGAGTAAATAACATCTTTTACCGACGCTAAATATTCATTCGCTCAAATCATAAAGATGTATCTAGATTGGGCATAAAATTATATTAAAACTGCATATTTTTGTAACAAAACGTTAAACAGTCTTCTTGTGAGGCACAGTTTGAAGTTAAGCACAAAGCTACAAAATGGGCTATCTGTGCTCTGCACAGCACTGGTATCGAAACCCGGTTTCTAGCGTTTTAAGCCCACAGACATACCTCTGTGCCACTGGGGGGGGGTGGCGTGAGGCACAGAGCAGTTGCGCCTTTCTGACAGCCAAGGGAGCCAATCAGAGTTTAGCTTTTAAAACAACTAATGAAAAACATTTTAAGAAAACTTCGTAACCACGAAGAAAACGTCTAGCTTTTAAAACAACCAATGAAAAGCATTTTAAGAAAACTTCGTAACCACGAAAAGAACGTAAAGTCGCAGTAATCAAGAGCTGGTACAAATGAAACGATTCTGTGTTTATTAAGTGTTTTTTTAAACCACTAAAGATGTGTTGCGACTTGGTTAAAAAGTGCGACGATTTGTCTGTATTTGGAGGTTATTTCAGAGTTTTACAAACAATAATACAGGCCCGCGAATTTAAACTCCATAAAAGTTGTTTTGATTTTAATATCGGGTTTCCCATAATTCAGCTACGCAGATTTCGAAAATAATATTAATTTTACTATCACGTAGGGGTTTTTTTTTTACAAATCGGGAAGAAGATGAAAAAAACTCTTAGATCAAATTATTATTTCGTTTACCACAATAAACATTTTTTATTATTATATTTGTTAACAAAAATA